AAGTTTGTTTGAAATCTTTGCAAATTTATTTAAAAAATATGAAAAAAATAAATAAATAAATCACATGTACATAAGTATTCACAGCCTTTGTTCAATACTTTGTTGAAGCACCTTTGGCACCAATTACAGCTTCAAATATTTTTGGGTATGATGTGACAAGCTTTGATCATCATGATTTGGCAATTATCTGCCATTCTTCTCCTCGCATCTTCACCTCTCAAGCTGTCAGGTTGGACGGGGGCAGATGCACATTTTCAGGTTTCTCCAGAAATATTTGATTGGGTTCATTCCCAGGCTGTGGTTGGGCCACTCAAGCACATTCACACAGTTGTCTATAAGCCACTCTTGCTGTGTGCTTAGGGTCATTGTCCTGTTGGAAGGTGAACCTTCTGCCCAGTCTGAGGTTCTGAATGCTCTGAACTAGGTTTTCATTAAGGCCCTCTCAATATTTTGGTGCATTGAGCTTTTCGTGCTTTTTTGCAAGTTCCAAGTGTGTTTTCATGTGTCTTCACTGAGGAGAGGACTGAGTTTGGCCGCACTGCCATAAAGCCCAGATCGGTGGAGTGTTGCAGCGATGTTTGTCCTTCTGTAGCTTTTACCCATCTCCACATATGATCATGGAGCTCAACTAGAGTGACCATCAGCTTCTTGGTCACCAGTCTAGACAAGACCCTTCTCCATCAACTGCTCAGTTTGGCCAGGAGGCCAGCTCTCGAAAGAGTCCTGGTTGTTTTAAACTTCTTCCATTAAGGGTAACAAAGACTACATTCTTCTGTGAACCTTCAATGCTGCAGAAATTTTTCTGTACCCTTCCTCAGATCTGTGCCTCGATACAATCCTGTCTCAGAGGTCTACAGACAATTCCTTGGACTTCAAGGCTTGGTTTGTGCTCTGACATGTACTGTTAACTGTGGGACCTTATATAGGATGGGTTTCAGAGGGTCAGCTTGTTCTGTTTATTGTGAAGAATATTTTGGACAATTGCATATGACCCTTTCTATGCAAAATCAATATAAAAAATAGCACCACAGTATTACCACCTGATACGGTCAAAGTACCACAGTATCACCACAGTAGTTTTTCTGAGGCAATTCTTTCATCTTGCCAGTAATATGGATGCACACAAATGCAAATGTGTATGTGTGTGGCGTAAAAACCCACGGTGAAACACTGATTACCCATAATACCTCTCTTTTATCTCTAAATAGATCAGCTTGATATCACTCTTACGCGTTAAATGAGAGGATTTGCTCCTTTATCCAGGTGTCAGTGTTTCAGAGCTGCAGCTCAAAGCAAAGTTTCTGCCTTCAAGTCACCGTTGTCTGAATGATCATATTTATGAGATGAGAGCACATGAACGGCACCATAACCCTCGGAAAATGTATTTGTGGCACTGCCAGAAGTTTGCCACAGGGGCTTCCTGAACGCTATGCTTTTGTAAGGGAATGTCTTAATTAGCAGTGAGGAAACTGGAGATTTCTGGGGTTTTCTGAGGCAAAATCATACCAGAACCTAATTGGTACTGATGATAAAGAGGTTTGATTATAATAACCGTCGACAAAACAATTTCGTTTATATATTTTATGTACTGTTGATGAAGAACTTGCAGAAAATCATTCTCTAATGACCATCCTTTGCTCTTCGTTTTGCATTTCGTCTCATTAGCATTAAAAAGTATTTGGCAGTAGGTGGAAAAAATAGAGAAAGTTTTATTTGGATTCGACCAAAATCATTTTAACGCACATCATGTCGTAATTTATCGTAAGCAAGGCAGCATAAGTGCATTTATGGGGGTTAAAGACCATTTCACACTATTTGTCCAAAGTTTGCTTCAGTGCAACAAGGCATTTGCAAAACAAAAGGCTTGATTAAAGCTGATGACGTGGTTCAGAAGTCAATATTTGCTAATGATGTTTGCTAAAGAAACATGATCATTATACATCGTCGGTTAAGCCCTCACCTTTTTCAATTTTCATAACCCTGTTTTATGCTTCAGTGAACCAAACAGGACCAATTATCAAAAACATACCAGCTTACAGAAATAACAGCTTCAGATATTTTGTCAAATTACGCAGTGGTTTTATTGTGATGGCAAACTGTAATCAATTGGATGCAAAGTTTTGGTTTAAAAAGTGCAAAAGCCACTGATGTGTGAAAAGCTATCAAGAAGCACGGTTCAGTTTTCCTTTTTTGAGTTCAAAAATGTTTTGTCTTCAACTGATGTGGTCATGCTGTTTTGGCATATAACTAATAGCCTGGAAACACACAAAACGTGTCACTTAATCATCACTTGGACAATATCACATCCAAAAAGCAGTTCAGATGAGGACTCTGATCATAAATCAAAAAGAGAAACTATAAGAGGTGACGTGCCTTGCTTTGCCTTTCCTCAGACGTCTTTTGAGAGAAAAAAAGAGCTTGAGTCTGATATCTTGATATGGTTATAATCGAAAGCCCCGGGGTATGAATATGAATTTAACGAGCACAAGAGGGAAGAGCTCTCGCCAGCTCGCCGGCCGCCTCTAATCTATTAAGTGTGAAAAAGGTGGGAAAGACTAGGCTGGACTGACTTTTAGAACGCATTGCTGAGGTTTTGTGTTAGGATCAGCTTTTCTTTTGTGTTTTCTATCTGCTTCAGAACATTGCAACCCTAATTCAGTACACATTTCCAGCTTGTTTGTGTAATACACCTTTGGATTAATGTTGGAGACTAAATGTTCCCAACAACAATAAAATAAAAATGATGAGACAAACAAACAAACAAATCAAAATAATTCATTATTAATTTCAACCCTAATACGTTTCATATTTTTGACTTGTTTGTGTAGCACCTTGTGTTTGTGTTCTCAAATGGATGGATGGATGGATGCAGGGCTGGATTGGTAATCGGGCATACCGGGCATTTTCCCGGTGGGCCGACGCATT